ATTTTCATTACGTAAAAATGAAAACAATCCTTTGCTGAAACGTTTCAAATCATACAATTGGAATACAAAATCCAATAACAAACAAAAAAGCTGGAAGCAATATTTCGCACAACTTAATTAACTTTAAGCATAAGGCTGCAAGCAAAATACATACATCAGGCGAGCTTTGCTTGCAAAACGTTGCGGACGCCTCGCCACCAACATACCTTGACACCTAATGTAGCGGCAGTATCTTCAGTCGACTTTACAACTCTCACAGTTTCCAAAGTGTGGGGTAGATCATAGTAAATTTGTCAGTCGTTTCAGGTAGCACCGAAATTTACAATGGATTTTGTCGGCGGAACGAGTTATGATGAATTGCTTAATTAAGGTTACGAGGCAAGCGGGCCGCGAACGTGTTGTATGGTTAGAATTATAACTTCGCTATACAATAATGTTTTTACCGGGATCTGGTTAGGATATTATATTTTTCGACAATATTTGTTACAATCATTTGGAGCAAATGGCGCGCTTTTGTTACCAAGAAAAGTGTTAGATTGATTACTGAGGGCACGTAAGCGTTGATATTTTAATAAGGCTAGTGTCGTAGTCTTCCTAAATTTTAATAACCTATTTGAGCTGATGAAGTCGCGATCATTTTTATTTTTTTTTATAGGAGAAGAGGCAAACCAGAAACGAATAGCCTAATATTATTTGATCCGACGCCCATGGACATCCGCAACGCCAGAGGAACCGCAACATCATTCTTAATTTGTCGTGTTATACTCACAAATACTATCCTCATATTGTGTACAAAAAACCTAAAAGCGTACATATGTTAACATTGTCTTACTATGTATATTATTAAATTGAACAAACATTTTATTTTATTCTTTTATATTAGTTTCAACTGAAATCATATAAAGGGAAACGCGTTTTAATTATTCCATGAGTTAGTATTTTAAAAGGAATGTAGAATTAAAGAAAAACTTTTAAAATCTGTTCACTTAAATACTTTCAACTAATAGAATTTAATGTAACAGTATCATCGCCTTGACACAGTAAAAATAGTATTAACTTTGAAACTAAAGTAATTAGTGAATTAACTAAAACCTTCTTAAAGACGTTTTGTGTTCGCTTTCTTAATTTAAATTCAGTCGTCGGGAAGTTAAAGAGAAGAAACTAACAAGAAAACTTTTTAGAACTTTTCATTTTGATGCCACTTAAAAGATTAATTTATATTTAACGTAGTAATAGGTACTTTTTAAATTTATTTCAAATATTTCCAGTTTCAAGGTCAAATGTCTGTGTTGACTTCCATAACATTTAGTACTTTTGTTATTCTTATAAAGATTCCTTTTCAATTATATAATTTTGAAGTAATAAAAACTGAATGATATTTGTCATTGTAGTCGTATTGAATAATTAGTAATAATTAAGTTCGTATTCTTCTCCGGAATGGAACCAATTAAGATACTGGACACTCGTAAATTAAAGCATTATAATTTGATAATAATCCATCTCAATTCAAAGAAAACATATCTCGAACATTATTAATAATCTTTCGAATATGAATGACGCTCAAAGACAAATGAATGGGTTAACGGCTCGAATAATTTGTCAAACTTATTCCAGCGCGAATTGAAAGTGAGCGGCCAACTCAATTAGTCACGTTGGAGTCGGAGCAACGTTGGGGACGAATCGCGCCTCGTCTCCAACAAAAGATATACTTTCCATGAATAAGCTTTCAAACATAAATGATTTCGGACGAGGGCTTAATAAAATTATCTCAGATGAGTAGGATATGAGCTTGCGTTACGCAGTTGTGGTTATGTTGCTTCTAATACGCGTTGGAAAATATTCATGCGTTCATATTGATGCATTTGCAATTGAATATTATTTGTAAGGAATAGGATTTGTCCATTGTTTACTTTTAACTTAAATAACGACAGACTGAGAATTTTGCAAGCAGAAAAGACGGCACTTTAAAATGTTATATCTTCTTGTAGCTAAACACGGGTTTATGTGCGAAATTATATAGTTTAACTCAAAAATAACAACATCATAGTACTTACGAATATTATAAATGCGAATGGATGGAAGATGGATGGCTGATACATATTTAGATAACGGCTTAACGGATCTCTATGAATTTGGGCACATATATAGAATATAGTCTGTAAAAACCCATACGCTACATACTAAGTTTTTTTTTTTAATTCCACGCGCACGAAAGGATGAAAGCTTGAACTAATATATATTCGCTTACATAACACACGAAACACAATAAAGCATAAATTACCGGAATAAATTACATAATACGTAAATCAACATTAAGTACAGGGAAGAATAACCAGCAAACACTTAAGTACAACACAAACTTTAAACTGGATTACAGTTCGAACGCGCCCATGGCTTCGCAAATATCATTTGAAATGTGGACGCGCAGCGGCTTAGTGGGTTGTTGATTAGTTTTAGAGGCAAATGTTTGAACTATGTTTACTAAGCTCTCTTCAATGCATCTAGGGTTAGCTAACATTTAGTTTGCTATAACTACTGTAGACAAAGTTTTTGAAACTTATAGCTATGATAGTATTCATTCAGATCGATTTTAAAAAGTTTGTACTCGTAACTATAAGCAAGAAGAGATTTATATTATTTGATTAACTATATATATTTATAACGTCACCTCTATAATTTTTAAAATCTACATTCAACAGTATTATATATCAAAATCAATAATAATTTAGTTAGAACTTTTAAAAGGAGTTTTGGCTTAAATGCCACAATAATGGTCTTTGGTCGTTCAGTCATTGTCCACCCCTATTAACTATAACTGTAACATCACTTGAATGATTGAGTCTTTATTTCCTCTAATCAAAGTCAATAAAATTAATTTAAAAGATAAAGTTGTCAACCCTACATTCCCTGTTTCCTCGCAAATTGGAAACTATCTAGAAACGGACTTTCGAATTCGCCTTTGATCTTATATTTGAGTGAAGAGTTGCTCGACCATCGAAATCTTGTTATCAATGGATCTATGTTCAAATGGTAGTGAAAGATCAATGATTGCGAGAATATCAACATGTACACAAGAACATTTTACCTTAGTAAAGTTGAAATTAGTTCAATCCTACTAATACTAAAATGCGCACGTTTAAATGGATGGATGTTTGTTAGGAGTTATCTCCAAAACGGATCTCGATGAAGTTGGCATAGATGTAGAACATAACCTGGAAAAACACATAGGCTCTTTTTTAAACCTCCGCGACATCATCTGCGCAGGATTAAAAAAAAGAATTAACAGCCTATGTGTTCTTCCAGACCATGCTCTACATCTATGCCAATATCCGTTTTAGAGACACCTTCTAACAAACATCTATGTATCCATCCATTTAAACATTCGCATTTATAATATAACTAAAATTGTTATGCTCGCGTTATGATGAGATCATACCAGTGTCGTTTTGTTATTTCCTGTTTCAATATGCATACAGAAAAACGAAATATTCTGAAAAGCAACAAAACTACTATGTTTTATATTCAGGTCTCATCTTCAAGTGCGGGTTCAATCGCGGCCTCTCTGACCCTCGCGGACAATACACTCGAGTTCTGTTCAAATTTTACTTTCAAATGCAATTCCAATAATGCAGAACTCATTTTAATAACTATAACTTCATTTGCACAAATCTATCGTAGATTTTACTTTGTTATTCAGTTTAACGAAGCTCTTCTCTATTTTTATTAAGACTCGAGAAAAATACGAGCGTATTTTTTACTATCTCAATTGAATTAATAAGTCTGATAGATATTGTTATCTACATCTCGTTAAGCTCAAATTAAGACTTTTTGGAAAATTAACCTTAAAACTACGAATATAATTAGAATTTCAATTTTAAATATATATACAACTAGCTGTCGCCCATGACTCCATCCACACAGGTTAAAAAAAACTTAATTAGTAGCCTATGTGTTGCTCTAGTCTACATCTATACCAAATTTCAGGAACATCCGTGCTGTCGTTTGGAGATACCTTCTTACAACTATCCATTCATCTAAACTTTATAATTCATCTCTCTATAAATTTTGATTCAATTTCCATCGCCGCGGGCACACTGTGGCACTAGTAGGTAGTGAGTTGCAAAGAGCCTATTGGCAGTAATCATGAACGCGCTGAAAGGGTTCGCCCCAGTTACGTCAATCAGACCAATAATTAATTAGAGCTCGAAACAAATGCATAATTAATAACTATATCTCAATAGCGGTTTTGTTACAAAGTTATCGATATTTTCTTAATTTTCTTTTTATTCTAATAGACAGAGTGTCCCTGTTATAAGTTCATCTCTACCCAGAATATCTGCAAGAAAAAAGAAAGAAATTAGCGCTTAGACTTTAGTTTGATGTCTTAAAAAAATGCTGTTTAAAATAATACTTCGAATGTTACGTGGAGAAAAATGATCCGAAATTATTTTTAATTGGCAACCCTAGCATATATGAGTACACAAGTAAATGTATAAAACTGAAACGTCCCAGGTCACTATCGGTTCGGTTATTCCGCTGGTCGATTTTATAGCAGTCAGAGGTCGCTCTGATCGAAAGCTATAAAATAAAAGATAAGAGTACGGACTCAGTCGTATATTTTAAGCATATTTTAAGGCCATGAATATCGTTCTTAAATTGAGAATGTTGGGGTTACGTTCGTAGATTTAGACACTATGACAAAGGATGACTCCCAAACTATAAAGAGAATAAAATGCGAGATGTGATATAACTTTATATGGAAGATATTCTGAACGCGTTCGATAAAAGAAAAATATTTATTTTATCTACATTCATGAATTTTTATCATTTTAGCTCATAATCTCATACACAGACCATACTTAATATTATAATTCACTATAACCGTGTTTCAATCTTAAAGTCATTAAAAATATTGTAATTTTTTTCTAAACGTTATACTAGATCTCTCCCTCACTCTCTCTTGTCCTCCATTCTCTTATCTCACTCTCACTTTGTCGCAGGCGAGGTGGAGCGGCTGCTACGCGAGTACCGTCAGAATCAGGAGTTAGTTCGCAACATCGGTGCACACTACTACCAGATCATTTACCCCGTGCAGCTGCGACACCACGAGAAGATGGGCATCTCCACACGGGAGGTCAACACGCAGAAGGTATGTCTATCAAGTGTCATACAACAACTAAAATCCGAATCCGAAAAACAATATTCATTCTCAAGTTTTGCTTAACTTATTTTTAATTTGATTTAAAGCTTTGATTGCAATGACAATCTACTCCAAATCTAAACTTGTTGATAATGTAATTTTGAAGGTTTCTGGGTTCTTGCTTCGAAGAGTCGAATAATGATAAGGTTCGTAAAAGAGCTTCGACCAACATCTCAAGAAGCTCTCGCTAAACAGTTAGTTTAAGAGCCCGATACAAAAGGCAGTTATCCTAGAAACCGCGCGCATTGTGAGAAGGTTCCTGTCTCTGCAGCCCTGACCACTGGTTGTTTGAGTCATGGGATTCCGCAGCCGGTGGTGTTCTATTTTTAATATAATATGTTTTGTATATTTTTTTGGATATGAAATGTACTATTCGTTCGTAATATTATAAACAATTGAAAACTATGAATAGGAAACAAATGACAAGCGTGACACATAGTACTTGTTACATAGTGGTTACAAGTAAATTACAGTTAGGTTCTTGTTGTCTTCTCACCTAAAAACAGTGAGACAGTGTTACTTTTGTCGGCTTTTCCTTTAGTATATTCCGAATGTGTTTCTCATATAAAACCTTTACTGAATTACGTTAAATAAAAAGGTAGCGAAAGGAGAAATAAAAGGGAACATGCGGAAGATGTTTATGCGTATCGATTTATCATTGTTTGTATTTGAAGAGTTGAAAAGAAGGCGGAAGTGATAAAATTGGACCAATCATGTTTGTATGTAATTCAAAGGGACTGTGTGTAATTGACTACGAATAACGTTATATATGTTCAGGATTTAATATAATTTTGATGTTAAATAATATAAATATTTTTATTGTTTATTCATTAAACTAATAAAATTAAAATCAAGACAAATCAGTTAATCACAGCAACTTAATTTTTTGTCGTAAAAAAGTAAGTTTCGAAAGTACTATTTCAAAGATGTTTTGTTGAAAAAAATGTCATGTTATTATAAAAAAAATAATGGGCAATACTAGAGAAACAATTCTAATTAATTAATAAGAGTATCTTCGGAATGTGGAAAGTGTTGCCAGTTCGGTGATTAATGTGCTTCAATATCCACGTGACTCGGGACTTTTTCTATTAGCTGACAACTTTTCTATTTACTAAAGTTGTTTTTGTTTTGTCGCTATATTTCTTTATGCCATGTGGTTACAGTGCTTATAAAATAAATAAATGATAAATATAAAATATAAAAAAAACTTCCATTATTGTTTAAACTCATATCTTGTTATAGCGAGTAACTTTTTTTTTAATTTTTTATTAACAATATGTTGATGTTAATCTATCCAGCCAGTCTCTTCTGAAGTTCAAAACAGCAAAATAAAATAAAAAAAAAAACAAAATAATAAAACTTTGCCAAATGTCATTATCAATAAATAAGATAACTCAATTAAAAACTCGATCAACAGAATGTCGTGGCAAGTAAAATTTCCGAGTAAGACACAAATCTCAAGAGCGAAGCGATTAGTAATATCCGACCTTATCAATCCAACCACTTTGTGCTCAAATTTTAACAAAGTATAATCAGAAGCCCTCCTCAAGTTTTGATTGCTTACAAATTCTTGTTGTTAACAAGAACGCGTGTTGGCGATGCGGGGGGATGCGGGGTGACGGGGGGGAGTTGAATAAACAACCTTTTGATCTACAACAAACACATGAAATGTACTAATAATAAATCTTTGTTATTATGTTTGCGTACACGGCGCAGAGTTATGAAACAACGCTCAAAGCTTTAATAGAGTTCCGAGGTTATTGAATTTTTTTTTCTTCACATCGTTAAAGGCTTATTTGCTAACGATAAAATATTATTATATGATGAACATAACTTCTTTATAACATAATACAAATTACATTTAAACATAGAAACTTAAAATTTCACATGAAATTAGCGTGGTTTTGCTTCATTTCGAAAACTAATTTATCTAACAATCGCCAATAGCCTAATGGTTAGGGATACAGATTTCCGATCACGAGATCGGGGTTTCGAATCCCACCATTCGACTATTGTCGTAAACCATGTCAACAACCAAACCAAACAAGCCTACAGCTTAGTTGGAATGGTACAAAAATTATTAGTAAGTTAACAAAAATTTGCTAATATTAAAAAAAAACGAAATCAAATCTCATATACGTTTATTTTTCATATCAGTTTCACACATACATTTGATAATTTTTTAATTTAATGATATATTTTTTTTTATTTTTTTTTTATATATGGGATTAGTAATTTAAATAATATATGAGATTATATAAGTACTTCAAATTATAATGGCACTTCACACCAGGGAGCTCGCAAAGAATCTATACGATGAAGTTTGAACAAGTTTAGGTGAAAGTTAAATTGGATCGAAGACGAATATTTTGTGTGTTCAGCCACGTACACACCGGAATGTGGGCTGAGGATAAAATCTTAAAGTGGCGTTGTAGTCGTAGCTTAAATATATTAGAAAGTATAACATTTGTAGTGATTTTTTTTTATTAAAATCAAAAACAAACAAGTAACTCGATTAACAATTTGAGTTATCAGCAAATTATAATTGATGGATACAGTTATGGTTTATTAGAAAGATAATTCATTAGTTTTTTAGAATCTTAGAGTAAAATGAGTCAACCGACCTTTTGTGTCCGCGACCAATATCTCTGTATAAAACATATCGACATACGCATCATCTTTGCCGAACAAATATAAATATATTTTAAATAAAGATTATAGTCTCAGAAACCTACAGTATCTCGTAATAATATAATTGATTGTACATAATACTGAAATCAAAAATCTTATTATATTATATTATAATATAAATTTTACAAAAACTTTAAAGGGAAGAGTGATTTGAAAATATACTATAAAGCCACCACTTCTTTTTCCTATAAATATAAAGAAATAGACATAACCTTCTTATTACTTTCAGATAAATAATACAAAATATAATAATATACAAATGTATGTTTTAAAGATATTTTCACAGATAAAAAATTGTATTTTATGTGTCCAAAAATCCGAATTTAATTATTGATACGATGCTTATTTACGATGGGATTTCGAATTCTCGAAAGTTTTGTTATTGTATTGATTGTTTTTACAATCGACAATTAAAATTCATTAATCCGGTGATTTATTGCACTCAATTAACGAGTTTTTATTAACAAATTAATAAATGTTTTAGATTATATTCATATTGTTTTGGTGTAACTAATTTTATAATCATTTTACAAAAGTAAACATGCACAGAATACAATAATCTTACTAATATTATAAATGAGAATGTTAGGATGGAGGGATGTATGGGTGGATGGATGGATGTTAGAAGGTATCACTAAAACGACTGCGTTGATCTTGCTAAAATAAGGCATAGGTGTAGAATATGGTCTGGAAGAAGAAATAGGCCACTTACTATTTCTTTTTCTATTTCCGCGAAGAATGAATCTATTTATTATTAAATTTATTTTGATTGTATATTATTAATATAATTTTGTAAAAAATGAAGGTTACTTTACCATTCAATTCTTGAATAGGTATATCAGACATCAATCCCATTACGTACCGTATCAGAATCGCCATACGTCAGCTGCGATCTGTATTAATGGATAGGTCATTGTTTGGAAATGTCAGCTTTTGCATCGTTCCGAGTTGAACGCGCCTGTTGATGTTACTGACAGTTAATTCTATCTCTATTATTAGTTCCAATCTTTACCACCGCTATCAACCGTAACCGTCAGCGAGAAAATGGCGAAGATCAAATAAGCACAAAATAGTACCGCTTATAGCCTGTCTATGTATACCACGTCTATTCATTAGCTATAGAGAAATAAGGAGAGAAAGAGAGAGACTACACAGGTCTCAGTCTGGCATAACTTTCGTCTTTGCTTACGTAAGTGAAACTAGTACATCGACTATTGCCTTTAATTTATTACCCAACTTCTGTGCAAATGTTAGCACAGTTTTAACTACGAATTTAATGAATCTAAGTATTCGAGTTGGGATTGTATGGAATAAATGTTTAATTGTAAAGAAGATTTACGTGTTTAAAAATTACACTATTTTCTAAGCTTTTTTAAATTGATAATCTTACTAATGTTATAAATGCGAATGTTTTAATGGATTGATGGATGGATGCTTGTAAGAAGTTATCTTCAGAACGGCTGCATGAATCATGATGAAATTTGGCATACAAGTAGAACATAGCCTGATAGAACACATCGGCTACGAATATTTTTTTTTAATTCCGCGCGGACGGAGTTGCGGGCAACAGGTAGTAAGTTATAAAGAGTTTTAAATTCGATTTAGTAGGCCTTAAACTTCCTTACGTGATAAAATTATTTAGTTTTAGACGGTTCTATTTCATTAATCATTCTACATATCTGTACCTTTATTAACAATCTGGTACTTTCACAATAGCTCTTAGTAAATTCACAGGAAATCTGATTTCTCGAATAGTAAATCGTATTCTTTTTGAAATAAAAACAGCGTAGTCAGGTCTACGCTGGTTGGTCGAATTTGATATGGATGTGCGGAATTTATGCCTCACAAAATATCCCTCGAGCGCTGACGTCCTTTGAGGCGAGTGTGGAATCGATGGCATACGAATAATCAAGTCTTTTCAAAGCACATTCAAATAAAACGGCACGAAGTACAAAGAAATCGGTTTGTTTAAGCGATGTCTGGATATGTAAGAGATTTTTTACCAATAAAGAATATTCCTACGTGTAAAGGTATTTTTTTGCAGACATAAAAGTGATGAATCTAGACTTTCTTTTACTGTGAAAACAATTTCATTGGAATTCCTAGTGTATATTAATTCAGATCGAAAGAAATTATAATAACATTCATTTCAAGTACATAAAAGTATCGACAATAATTTGAGAGAGCGAGAAATCATTAATCATTTATACTGTGTTAATGAAAATCTTTTCCAATAAATCTTTTTGTACTACAAACTAATTGACCTAATAGACTTTATCTAACGGAACTAGAATTTTGGGTAACAGAATAATCCTGTCACTTGAGTTTGTATCATTCTTTGAATTTAATGTAGCACCTGTTTTCTATAAAATTCTCAGAGTTTATCCCTAAAGAATAACCAATAACTTGTATCAAATCTCTTTCCGTTGACTCAGTTATAACAGCTACAGAGTTGGGGAACACGCCCTCTCTCAGATTCGATTACCGGCGACTAATTCTGTTTACATTATGTCACCGCCCGCTAATGCAAGCAATTTTTCTTTGGGCCGAACGGAAAGCCGGAAAAGCCACGAAGGACGGTTTTTTATGGATCACGGCGGAGGGAGAGATAAAAATCAGATAAAGTGTATTCATGGTGGATTGCCGAAACTTGACACCGGCATTAAAAGGAAAACTAAAATGTTCATACGCTCTGGGGCGATGTTTTGTGCGCGAAGAAAACATTTTCTTATTTTTTCGTAAGTAGAAAACTATACTATCAGATATTCCTTCTTATATAAAAATTAAAATCAAACAAAACAAACGGTTTAAATCGGTTTTAGTATACAACTTAATATATAATTTAAAAATAACTAGATAAATAACTCCGTACTAAATCAATTTGACAAGCATTTTCACGTATTAAGTTTACTGAGAAATAACTCGGGCATAAGTTCGCATAATATGTATGACAAATCGCCTGTCACGGTAAGTTTCTTAACGTTACTATCTCACTTTAATACCCGCCATATCTCAGCGTAGGCTGGTGGGAATAGCGCAAATTATTCCTGGTCTGAGTTACCAACAAATACGATTAGTTATACAGCTCTATCCATCTCCTTATCCATAATCTTTGGATAGCGTAGTACTATAAAAATAAAGTTATTACAATTAAAATTATTTTAATTAAAATCAATAAATCCACATGTGAAAATTTTCCTAATTAAAGTGAAATATGTGTGCAACCTTAGAAATGTGATTAACATTATGTTCAAAAGAAATTACGTCCACGCGTAGCAGTGTAGCTACGTCACCCGTAGCATTACCTAACACTCTTGACTACGTCACAGAGGCTCGCTTATATCAGTCGAGATATATCTGACAAGACATAATCATCATATATTTAAAATTAAACACAACATCTTATAATCAAAAAAAAAAGAAATATCATGTGGAAATAAACACAAATGTAATTATTGTAAGTTCTTTTATATTGCAAAGTGCTTCAAATTAGTTAAGCGGCTTAAGTTTTCAAGAATGCAACCTTCGTTTCCCTCTGAACGTAACCGCTGTTAGTCCGCTATAAAAGTTAAAGTTGTTGTGAAGCAAGTTGTGAATTCAATCAAAGCCGTTACCGCACGCCAACCTTTAAGTTAAAACTAAATGTACTTCAACTCTCATAGTTTTACTTAACTATTATATAATTTGATATAGTTAAACATGATGTGGCAATTTACTTCTTTTCAATTTAATGACTCTTTAATATTTATTAACTTACATATAAATAAGATCAGTATTCTGTCAATGTAACTTTACTTGTAACTTAAAAGTTAGTAATGTAAAAACAAAGTTAAATTTAATACTTAACAAGTCTTTTACAACTTAAAATAAGATAGCTCACTTTAAAATGAAACATTTATTTACATATGTCGAAACAAGACAGCGACATGGTCTCATCCATCGTCTAAAGCCGTCTATTATTAACTCGCGGCTACCACAAAACTATTTCGACATCTATTTGAAGCTAAAATTCTATCTGTCACATAATCCTTAAAGCTATTTACTTACAAGATAATTTACGTAAACTTCACCACAAATCTCTCGAAACGCGACTCAACTGTGAACTTTTCGCGTTGTCAACGCATTCGTGGTAATTTCGACTAATTCACGAATTGAAACAGAGATTGTGGTTGCGTTGGTGACGTGTTTTGCGGTCGTGTGACCCCGCTACCAGAATTAACCTGTTCTCGTTCGTCCGTGACATTTTATTTAGTGTTAACATGTTTAAAACCTAACATGGTCGCGATTAATTTAATTTGTTGGGCAATGGGGACACGCTTTCAGGTTTTTGTTTGCTCAAATATTTTTATTGGTGTTTTCTTTTGTGTTATTGAAATCAGTTTTATCTCTTACAGGATTTGCTATGAAATGTTAAAATTGTTGATATTCAAAGTGATGTGATCACAAACCATTGACTTAAAGTGACAGAGTTGCATTCTTGTCACATAGTAATGTGTTCATTTTATTGCAGGGCCGTGGGTACGGATCGGACTATCAACAGGGTACGCGGTCGCGCGCAAGGGTGAGTTATTCTTTTGTTTATTTTACTACCAGATCTTCCTGTCTTTTACGATTGGTAAGTTTATGGAGACAAAAAGATTTTTTTGTTATTTTTATACGACATTTATGTGTTCATGTTAAAATCTCTCTCAAAGTTAGACATTCAATAAAAGTTACAATTTCTTAATATTTCTTGTTAGTAACTATGTTTCAAATGACATGAACAATATGTAAAACTTCAATATTCAAAGGTTAAATTTTCCCATACATTAGACTATGTTGAAGCCCTCTAATCTCGTAACGTCTAATTAAAGCACCAGATGTCGCTCGGCGACGCGCGGAGCCAATTTGTCGCTCGACGTGTCGCAACAAAACAATCATGGCGGCACGATATTTTCCCGCCATTATCTGAACCCTAGCGATATTGGAGCCTAAAGCAATATTACACATGGCAAGTATTTGATCCAACATATAAATCTATGTTCATCACATCATTATGGTACTAGGATGAAATGTTTAATAATATTTTTTTTAATTAAAAAACCACAATCCTATCCTCCATACATATTTTGTTATTGTTAAATTAAAATTTGAGATAAAAGTTAGTTGATATTTCCTTGGTATAAACTAAAAAATCAGTAAATTGACATTTGTTACGGAGTGTGTATATAAAAAAAATAATGCCAATAATAGTTTTCTTGACCAAATACATGAGAAGATATAAATAAATAGGATTTACAGGAAACAAGGCAACTAGCTGGTAATTAACCGCGGGAACACGTTAAAGTGGCCGTACACGTCGTCACAGCGGAGAATTATGGATAAGATTTAATTCAAAACTTGCCCGAGCGGTAAATCACGACTAGCAAGGGGCCTGCCTCTAGATTTCCAGTCTACCTGTGAATACAGCTAGCTATATGAATTTCATTCTTATTCCTAACCACATAAAGATAATTTCAGCTTGAATGGACCACCGGATAAGTCCCATAATGAGATATTGGTTATACAAGGAATTAATTCGTCCCCAAAGAAACCGCTATTCTGATATTGATCGGATTTCGGAAGGCCATTTACCCGCTAACCCAATTCAATGTTGTCATTTGATTATGCACTTTATTTTGATGGTGGTACGACAATTTTTTCAATAAATCAATATAAATACTTTATTACGTGCGATGTATTTAATTTTTAAGAATCGAGTTTGAATTTAGTGGAATTATTTTATACTGAATCATATGATATTTTAGATTATAAATATTTAATAAACAGTTTTTCAACTGGTCTTGTAAACGTTACTATGAAATCTGAAAATTAATTTGCAAATATTAAAAATAAGACTATGAATAGTAATATAATAATATAAAGTCATCTTACTAATATTATAAGTGCGAATGTTTGGATGGATGTGTGTTAGAAGGTATCTCCAGAACGACTTGATGTATCTCGCTGAAATTCAACATAAATGTAAAACATAATCTGGAAGAAAACATACGCTACTAAGTAAGATTTTTTTTAATTCCGCACAGATGGAATTGCGGGCGATAGCTAGTGAAATCATAAAATCATATTATATCGTAAACGTGTCAACCTTTATTACCAGTAGCAATTGGCGAAGCAATTTCAGGATGTACGTTATGTTATGAAGGAAATCGCAAATGGATGGGCACGCTTCGTAGCGCATATGCATACAAATCATAGCATCTGTCGCCATGCACGAGTGGCTTATATCATCTCACGTTTGAGGCATGTCCACAAAGTCAAACGACAAATAAGCAATCTCCTTTGATGGCTCCTTACGTAAAGTCTGACCAGCAATGTAGAAAGTATCCAAATATAGAGGTATTGCAGAACTAATGTATTTGTTTTGCGTATAGAACTAATTTCTTTAGCAACACACAACATAACAATAAGTTACCCAATTTCTATTAAAGAAAATTCCCTACTAAAGAAGAGTCCCTTTTAATAGGAGAAAAAAACGTGTAATTATTTTTACTTTTATGTTGTTATCATCTACAATCTTCGATCATAAATTACATAAAATCAATTGAAGATGACGCTACGTTATTTGAAATTTGATGTTAACTAGATCCTACTGTTAGCTTCCAGATTTTTCAAGTTTTATTCTATCTGAAAATATCGTAATTAAGTGACTATGTTCTAGTTCTAAAACATATACCTATTTATGAAATTTAGTTCTTTTATACAATTAAACTGATGTACGATGCCAAAAAAAGACATAGAACCTTTACTATAAATGCTGTAGAGAGTTGGCATAAATATTTCAATTAATTCTTTTCCGTCTTTACACCGCGCCAAGTGATAAGTCCAAATTGCGGCACATAATTTAGTGAAGGCCCCTCGCGCTGGCAGCGCCATCTCTAGGGCCCTCACATAAAATGCAACCACGCTGCCAACTCAATTTATCTCATTCACCAGCTAATAATGTTTACCTATTTACGGTGGCGAAAATTTAAGGCTAAGAGATTTTTATTTTTATGTCAAATTTACTAGTGGATATCGTTTTTCACTGGCTTTTTACTATTTTTGCATGTCCCTTGTCATGACTAAGCATTGAAATCAATGTTCCTTGAGGCTAATACAAAAATTATTTTATATATTTTCTAATGCTATTGCCAACTTCAGTTTGATTAAATTTAAACGATATCGATAAGGTATATTAATTAAAAATACCTAGTAAAATCGAAAATGGTTTTAAATAGAATATTAATTTCTGCCTTGTTATTGTTAGGGTCCTACAAGAAGCGTATTACTTTCTCAAAGGCCTCAGGCATCTGAAGTTCCTCTTGTGTTGCGGATATTCATGGACGCTGACGATCATCTTGGTCTTCTGCCGCTCGTTTGCTTGTGATTCGTAAAGTCGTTTTAAAGTTTTTCTTGCTTCTCATTTTTTTATTATTATTAGTCGACAAAAATTACCAGTATTCCTTTGAAATAAGTAGTTGTCGTTAGTTGAGATTTAGAGCGTGCAGTCCGACCGAGGTTCACAAAGTTGGTGAACTTATGCGGGCACGATTGTTCAATAATAATTTAATGGCTTCCAACTTTGTTCTGACTTGTATTAAGTTAAATAATCGTACCTATTAGTTTTATACTGGTACTTTGAACTGAGAATTCCGATTGTAAGTGCGGGTGGAATATTTAGTCTCAAGATTTCGTTGCAGATTTCAAACGAAGCTTTGAGTCTTCTTGACAGCAAGTTATTCGTTCGAAGCCCATGTGTAATAAAAAATATGGAATTATTACTTCATTGAGTATAAATAATCTATTCTTCCTTCGCCTCGAAGTAGTAATCATGTCGAGCAAAATAAAAATTAAATCAAAGGTTTGATATAAAACTTATCATCAGCAATGTCTTATGTTTATTTATTGATTTAACAGAAATTTTATTTGTTTCTTTATAAATGAATACTATTAAAGATATTACTTACTGCTCAATTGATTACTAAGACGTTCATTTCTGATGGAGTAATGAAGTGTAATAGCTAATGAGATGTCTGATGATGCTTGTAATGGCATTGGTCAGGAGGCGTGACTCCTGCTTCATTGAGAGGGACACCGCAGGACGCGACTAATGAACCTTGACTGGATAATACCGCTTTTTCCACTAAGCGACTTCTCGTGCCGACAGACATTGGGATTTGCGACTGCTATGGATTATGATCACGTGACCAATGGATAGTGAACTATAAAGTATTTCTGTATTCATATTTATGGCTTAAATGTTGCTGCATTTTAATTTAATGTTAATTTTAAATTTAATGTTGAAATCCACTTTTATAAGGTGATCGTTTTAATACTAAATTAAAGAATACAATTACAAAAATTGGTGTAAAATAAGGTTTGTGTGTAAAATAACAATTTCGATTTGTTTTATATTTTATTAATCAAATAAGATACAAGGCTGAGGGTTAAGAACTCAATTATCTTTCGGCTTTATTAATATTATTGTTTTCGTTGCGGCCCCGCTTCCTCCTCCGCCCCGCGGGCCCCCCGCCCTCCGCCATCTTATCTCTCCAACGATTCATAACATTATTTTACTTATGCCAGTTATGATAGCCTTTCCACCAATGTACATAAATCATCCAATTTACGTTACTTATTTAGGACACGGGTTCGCTTCGTTTTAATTTCTAAAAGGCTTTCTAAAAACCTGTTTGAGAGCCCGCTATAGAGATAAATTAATTAAGCTATGAATATTTTATTTCAATACTTTATTATAATATTCGATTCAAGACTAAGTAAATATAATATTATAATATAAAAATTAATCGCAAAATGTGTTGGTAAGCGCATAACTCAACAACGCCTGGATCAATTTGGCCATATCTTTTTTAAATGTTCGTTTAATTCAAAGATGGTTTTTACGGCGAGAAAAATTCGAATTATTACCGGGAACTATTTTTTTTTTCATTTCACGCGGACGAAGTCGCGGGCGACAGCTAGTATTACAATAGATTTTACTATTTGTTTTTACTACTTATAAATTAAGATTTATTCTAAATGCGAAACAATATTTTATAATACATCATGCAACCACTATCAACTACGCAACGTATGCAGTTCGACAATATATGCTATCATTTTTCAGGCTATGATTTGTTGCTGGTACTTATCATCATCGTGCAATACATTTAGTTGTGCGCAGTAAATTACACTACTAGTATTTCGTCATCGCGGACGGGGTCTATGATTTGTTTGCTTACCCCAACATTTTTCATCCGACTCGCCGTTACTAAATCATTCTGACAACTCGGCGCGATCAACTATTGGCCTTTACACCACATGCGTTCATTCTAAAATAAATCTTAATGACATCGCATTAAGGTATAATATACTAAAACCAATAATCCAGACAGTTTATTATTTGTTTGCCGAAATATAATAAAAATTCACATAATCTATGTTGTCCTTTTCCCTTGTTTTAATGAAAATGACTCTTTATATTCTGATTTTTTTTGTCAAAAACTCGATTACAACAAAAAAATGTTAATTCTAATGTGA